AAGTTGCACTGGCGACGTACTGGTTGAACGCGGAGCGAGCAGCATCACGCGCGTGCCTGAACGCCACGCAGGTACAGTGCACGCGCGATTGGGACTTCAGGTCGATCACGCGCGTCTCCACCAGGCTTGGCAACACCACGCGACTGAGGATCTCACTGCGGTCTGCCATGCTGCTGTCCGCGAATGCAATGCGCTGCCTGCAAGTAAGGCGGCGGCGTCCACTTGTCTCAGAAGATGTTCCCGCGGGCCCGAAGGGCGACCGCCAGCTCGAGCCGCGGCGCCGGCAGGCCAGATAAGGATCATGCAACAGCAAAGACGATGACAGAGCAACGAGGTATCGGCGAGTGCATGACCGGCCTCCGTTTCCTGCACTTCTTTCCTGTAGTTCCCCTAGCTCATCGAGCTCAGCAGATGTTTCTGCGGGTCCGAAGGACGACCGCCAGCTCGAGTCGCAGCGCCACGTGGCACGAACCGCAGAGCAAGGGCACGCGAGCATTGCTCGTGGTCAGAATCTGAGTCCCCGTGGTGCCTCACTCCGCTGGCCACCCACCAGCAGCCCTCGAAAGTGGCGACAGTTTCACAGATCGCAGCCGCCCAGGGGTGGCGAGGTCTAATCTGAGTCCCCGTGGTGCCTCACTCCGCTGGACCCACCAGCAGCCTCGAAAGTGGCGACAGTTTCACACAGGGATGGCGAGGTCTAATCTGAGTCCCCGTGGTGCTTCACTCCGCTGGACCCACCAGCAACCCTCGAAAGTGGCGACAGTTTCACAGATCGCAGCCCCCCAGAGATGGCGAGGTCTAATCTGAGTCCCCGTGGTGCCTCACTCCGCTGGACCCACCAGCAGCCCTCGAAAGTGGCGACAGTTTCACAGATCGCAGCCCCCCAGAGATGGCGAGGTCTAATCTGAGTCCCCGTGGTGCCTCACTCCGCTGGACCCACCAGCAGCCCTCGAAAGTGGTGACAGTTTCACAGATCGCAGCCCCCCCCCCAGAGATGGCGAGGTCTAATCTGAGTCCCCGTGGTGCCTCACTCCGCTGGACCCACCAGCAGCCCTCGAAAGTGGCGACAGTTTCACAGATCGCAGCCCCCCCCCCCAGGGATGGCGAGGTCTAATCTGAGTCCCCGTGGTGCCTCACTCCGCTGGACCCACCAGCAGCCCTCGAAAGTGGTGGCAGTTCCGCAGATCGCAGCCCGCCAGGGATGACGTGAAAGGCAAGAGAAGAGAAGAGGAGGAGCGAAAAGAGGAGGAGAAGGCAAGCAAGAGAGGAGAGGAGGAGGGAAGAGAGGGGGGGGGGGCGGGAGGAGGAGAACGGAGACCGCAGTGCTCTATTCAAAACGAGTACCCAACGCAGGAGGGTTGGGAAAAAAGCCAACTCGCCTGGGCGTCGTTTCTGGATGGGCTGGTGGGGATGCGCGAAGCGCCAACAATTCGGAACGCACTGTCGAAGCCATCGCGTACCTAAAGCATGCGGAGAGAAAGCGCTGCACCTCTGGCAGGAAAAGGTCGCCAACGCCCGCGGTGCACATCTTCCTCAGCCTCAAGGAGAACACCGAGTCCAGGCACCACTCGTTTGCCCAAAAGAGTCCTTCGCCTTCTGCGCGGCGGGCCCCCATGTCCAGGGAGGCGCCCGCGAGCCGCATGAGCCTCCACGGGTAGCCGCTCAAACGAATGTCGAAGCAACGATACAAGGACCCAATGAATACGTGCACGGTGGCGTCTGCTTCGCGGAGGACATCGCCGGGCCAGGGCGCGAGGGGGCCGTGCAGGGCAAGCGGCCATCTCCACAAATCGTAATGTCCAGCTGCAGCTGGGTCAAAGGCTGAGCTCAGCTGAGCGAGCGCGTCACAGACGACGCTCTTGCAGAATGGCGACATCGCAGACCCCTTGGGGTCGAGCCGGCCATGCAAAGACCCGCGTTTGAAACATGCGTAATGGAATCGCATCCCCGCGGCGGCCACGGCCACCCACAGGACCAGCCGTTGCCGCGAAAGTAGATCGGAGAGAAACCTCATCATCTTGACGGTGCGAACATGCTGTTCACGCCTGAAATCCCCCTGGCCCGTTTCGCCGTTGCCGCTCTCGAGGCCGGCATCTTCCCGTCGCATGGCGCGCGCAGCAGCACCGCGCGTCTTCTCGAGCGCACGCGGCAGCAATCCATGCAAGGAGATCAACAGCAGCAAGACGCACGCGGTGGGATGCACAGTGCTCCAGCGGTTCAACGCGGGCACTGCCAAACGCCTGCGCAAAGGAACCATCGCCGCCGCCGCCGCTCTGTCGACAGACTCCTGCCTGTTCGCGCAGCAGTCGCGGCCCCTGCAATGGTGCACGGGCCTCTCTTGAGACACGTCGCAGGTGAACATCTCCTTGATCAAGTCGACCTCTGGCTTGGTGAGGCCTCTACGTTGGCCGCGTGCCGCTGTCACCTCCTCTTCCTCAACGTCCTCATCCATCTGGCGCTCGCAATACCCGAGCAGCACGTCGAGCTCCCCCCTGTCCGCTGGATTCGGCGCGCCCCGCCGCACCTCCAGACCAGCCCCCTCGTCCGACAGGATTTGCCGCAGAGCTGTCTCGAGGGCCCGCAAGTTGGCCCCTGTTTGCAAGTGTCTGACAATGGAAAACATGCCGCCGACAACCCCCGTCATGTCCCCGACCGACTGCAAACATATCGCGGTCTGATGCTGCAAACAAAAAGAAGGCAACAGGAGGACCCACCAGGGCAACGCCTGCAGCAAATATTTGCACACCAGCCCGTTTGCGGCCACAGAATCGACGCTCGGGGACAAGCGCGCCAGCAGCGCCGACGGCCAGAGCTCATCCATATCCACGCGCAACGCCCGCGCGAGGCCTCCGAGCATGCAGTCGGCGGTTGCAGATTCCAGCACGGACGGTGGGAAGATAAGCTCTTGGCCGTGGACGCGGAGGTCCTCGCCTTCCCAGTGCAACACGCCGTGCTGTGTCATCACTTGCTGCCCACAAGGGGGCTTGCCGTCGTTCAGCTGTACAGTGAACTTGGTTTCGCCCCACTGCAGATGCATGACCGACCAATTGTGTTCTGTCCCAGGCGCTCTGAGCACTTGGCGCTCTATTTGAACCCGTTGGTTGTCGCAGTAAAGCTCCGCCAAAGCCGTTCTCAATTGGCGACCGAAAAGATGGCTGCCTTTGATTCTGGTGCCTTTGAAAACCTTGGCGACGCTGCTAGCAGCCATGGCCAGATACTCTTTGCTGAACACTGCGCGGAGCATTGTCCGAGGAAGCCACTGATCCCACCGAAATCTTGGCGACATCTTGCGCGGGCCTTCCTGCCCCTCCCCCGTCGCGTCCACCTGTCGCTTGGCATTGTCAAAATTGTGAGTGGCCATCTGCGCCTGCAGCTCCATGTCCAACTGGAGCCGCGCATCGCCCCTAGCCCGACGAGCTGCAGCGGCGGCCGCGCCCAGGGGCACCAGGCCGCGCCTGCCTGGGCGGGGCCCGGTGCGGCGCGCTTCTGCTGCACCTCGAGCCCCGGCCCCATCGCCGCCCACGAGGCGACCCAGCGCGCCCCGAGCAGCTGCGAACAGATCCATTCGGGCATATGACCACGGGCGCGCTGGAGCCACAAGGACTACAGATGCGCGGCTCACGCGACAGGGGCCCGCAGCCTCTCCCCTCCTCCTCTTCTCCGGTTTGCTCGACGCGGGCCCGCGCGTCAATTCTCGAGCGGTCACGGGCGCCACCGATGACGCTTGCCACCATGCGGAAGGTAGCGTCGGGTAATGAGCAGGGGTGCCCCCTGGCTTGTCACTCGCAGCAGTCTGCTTTCTCCTGCGCCTCCTCCTCCCCCTCCTCCTCCTCCTCCTCCTCCTCTCCTCCGCGTTCGTTACTCACCCCCCCTCCCGCGCCCTCCCCCCCCCCTCTTCCACGACGCGGCCTGGCGCTACAACGTCTTGCAACGACCGCCTTTGAAGCGGGGATGCCCCCAGCTTCCGTTCACCGCACGGAGTGACCACATAGTGAGTACCTTAGCCTTCGCCTTTCTCTCCCCTTCCTCCTCCCGTCCTGGTCTCTCCCTCCTCCCTTCCACCTCGCTTCCTCCTCCCTTGCTCCTCCCTTTCCCCCCCCTTCCTCCCCCCGTCCTCATCCATTCCTCCTCCCTTCTCCCTCCCTCCCCCCTTCCTCCCCCCTTCCTCCTCCTGTCCTCCTCTCTTCCTCTTCCCTTCCTCCTCCCTTCCTCATCCCCATCCTCCTTTCCCCCTCCCTTCCCCCCCCCTCCCCCCTAGTCGCCGCGGCGCGGCAGGAAACGCATTCGCAACAGTCGTTTCAATTGTGAGCCGCCGCAGCCGCGGGGTGCGCCACAACCACAAAGGAGCACAGATGCCCGCTGACGAAGACGACGACAAAGACGACGACGACCACGACGACGACGACCACGACGGGCTCCACGACGACGACGACGACCACGACCACGACCACGACGACGACGTCCACGACGACGACAACGACGACGAACACGACCACGACCACGACCACGACCACGACGACGACGACCACGACGACGACGACCACGACGACGACGACCACGACGACCACGACGGGGACGACGACCACGACGACGACGACGACCACGACCACGACCACGACGACGACGACCTCGGGATGCCATCTACGGATACCCTTGGGGTACTTTTGGGAGAGGAACCTCTTGAAGCCTTCTCGGCGTCCTCTCGGGGCCGTCTTGGAGCCCAGTGGTGCCTCTTGGAACCTCTGCAAGCTTCCCCAGGCCGCGTTGGGGGGCTCTGTCAGCCCAGGGCTTCCCACCTCGTTGGGCGTGCTCTGTCACCCGACATCTTCTTTTTTTCATGTGCGCACGTTGCGCACGAAGCTCTCAAGGGAATAGTCCGCAGCGAGTGGCGCCGTTCCAAATGCCAGCAATTCGCGCGCGGCTGCTTTGCAGGCCGTCGCCAGGAGAGGGAGTAAGGAGAAGCGCGCTGATGCTGCACCAGAGGTGGCGGGGGCTGCCTGCTAGTTGGCCAGCTCGCGGGAATCAGATAAATCATGCCGCTGCGCAACATCCTCGACACTCACGTGGTCGACTTGAAGTTTGCCGTCAGCGGGCGGGCACCAGCAAGTGGCAAACAGGCCTTGGTACCGTTGATCCCTCGACACCATGCAATCGACCATCTGATTGTCCAGGGCCACTGGCGTTTGCACCTCCTCCCTCAGCGCCTCCACCGCCCGCCCCTTGTCGGCGTGGTGGCCCCCCAGAAGCCTGCGCTCCGGATGAAACGGCAACCCCTTGGATCGCAGGCCAGCCCTGACGAGCTCCTTCAGCACGAGTTCGGGCCTGCACACGAGGTCCTCGTGCCGCACGACGAGGGCGCGATGGGTTGGAGGCGCCGGGCTGCCCACGCCGGTACCATGGAGCACTGCGGCAATGCAGTGGCAACACAAGTCGAACGCATCCTCAAACTCTGGATTGTAATCGACGCGGCCTTTCGCCCAGGCGGGCCAGCGGACGTGCACGGGTTCGTCTCTCGGCCCCCGCAAGAGCCAACTCACGTCGCCCATCCTCCGAACCCGCTTCGCGCCGCTGGCAGAGTTCGGCATCAGTTCGTAGGCGCCCTTCGACAGCGCTCTGATCCACCTGGAGGGGGGGGGGGGGATTGCGAGAGCAGCATGACATGGTAGTTTGGGGGAAGTGAGAAGACCGCAAGGCAGGCAGGCTGATACCTCAAAAGCTGGTGCGCTTCTGCTGCACCATTGGCCCGAAAGACCCGTCGGCCGCCTGGTCGGCTCGCGCGTGCACACCAGAACCACCACTGGGCGGCCCTGCTCATCCTCTGGCGGAAACTCCAACGGCGTGAGGAGCAGGTCGTGCTTCCACACGTGGCGGCCGTTGAAGGAGACGCGCCCGTCCCACCTGCTCTTGCGCACCTCGACGTCGAAGTGCCGCCCCATGTAACTGTGGAGGGCGTGCGTCCCCGTTTTCCAGGGCCCCTGCGCGACAACGCACGGCCGCTGGTACTTGCCGCCTGCATTGAGCTGCAGGTGGCCGCCCTGCATGCGACAGTGCCCCACGGGCGTGCCCACCACAGGTACAGGCAGCACAGCGTGGATGGACACCTCCTCGAAGTGGAGCGGCTCCCCTGGGCTTCCGCGCGGCGCCTGTGACTGAGAGGGGGGGGGCCAGGCGAGGGCTCTCCCCTGGTCTTCCCGTGGCCTTCCTAACCCCAATCATGCCTGATTCCCGTATAACCTCCCCAACCCCCCCCCTTGGGAATGGGTCGATCTCCACGGCGACCAGAGTCGAAAAGGGTGGAGGTGTGGTCGGAATCGATCAAGCGTAATCTATTGGAGCCAATCGGAATCGGAATCGATCGCGCTGGGGATCGGATCGAACGCGGGCCCGACGGGAATCGTTCGGCACTCGGGCTCCTCGAAGAAGCCCCGTCAGACGCGTTCGGAAGCGGACTCAGAATCGAGCGGACTCGATAGAAATCGAAATCGGAAGCGTCAAAAATCAGACTCGGCTTCGTCGCCCTCGAATTTTGGCCCCGTGTCCGCGTAGTCCACGGCGACGGCGCCCGTCCCCGCGCCGTCGGGCACGGGGGGCGGCGCCGACGCATAGGCAGGCGGCGCCAGCGGCGGCGGCGGCGCCAGCGGCGGCGGCGGCGGAAGCCCAGCCGCTGCGACCTCCTCGGTCGTGAAGGCTCTGCCAGCTCTGCGGGCCTGTCCTGCAGCGGCGCGCGCTGCAGCGCCACTCGTGCTCTGGTGCGCAGTCTCCCAGTCGGCCGCAAGCAATGCGAAGGCCTCGGCGCTGTCTCGGACGACGCGCCTCTTCGACGCAGGCTCGGGCGGGCCCGCCGGACTGCCCACCTCCGCGCCCGCCTCCGTGTCGGAGCCCTCCACCACGAGCGGCGCCGCAGCAGGCGGCCCCGACGACGAAGCAGCAGCCCCGGCGCGCGCGGCAGCACCAGACTGGGCCGCGATCGTCGTGATGGGGATCTGGCCGCCGACAGCGCCAGGCGGCCCCGTCGACATCTCCTGGCCAGCGTCGGGGGCGGGCGGCGGCGCCGGCAGCGCGAGCAACGGCGTCGGAGGCGCGTGCTCGAGCGACGGCGGCGCCCCGCACTCCGACCAGGGCCCGAGGAGAAGCTGCGGGGCGGCCGACTCGCCGTGGATCCACGGCTCAGAGGTGCTGAACGCCAGGAGAGTGCGCAAGTCGTCGGCCGCGGTGTCGGGCACGCCCAGAGCCGACCAAGGGCAAGGCTGCAACGGCGTCGAGGGCCCCGTCGGGGGGGCGCGGTGCCCAAGGAGAACCTCGATCCGCTCGTTGATGGCGGAAAGAAGCAGTGCTCGGCCAGCGATGGGAAACCGCCCCTGCTCCGCGCGCGGCGGCGCGCGCCTCGCCAGCTCCAGCTCCATGGGCTGCTCGGCCTCGGACGGTCCAGGCGTGGGCGGCTCCTCTGGCAGCGGCGGGCCCGGCTGCTCTGGGGGCCCCCGGCGCGCGCCCCCGAACCAGTGCATCTGCCGCCATTTCACCTGCGAGTCGGCGGGGGGGGGACATGAGGGAGAGAGAAGGGCGTGACAGGAACATGGCGGGCCCGATTTGCAAACTATGCCGATTCACCTTGCTCTCCCGATTCTTGCCGCCCCGCTTGTGCCTCGCCGAAGCGAAACCCTTGGCTTCCCACGGCGCAGCGCTCTGGGCGGGGCCGGCGCGCTCGGCTGCACCATGCCCCCCCCCTCCCCCCCCGTCGCGCCATGGAGCCGCGGCGGGCGCTTCCGCCTCCGCCTCCGCGGCAGCGGCCCTGCTGCTCGAGGCGGAGGACCGCCGCCAGGCGCTCCGCCAACCGCTGTCGGAGGCCCAAGCGGAAGAGGACCACCAGTCGCCGTCGGAAGACCACGCCCACCCGCTCCACCAACCACCCCATGCCATGGCTTCTGCCAGGGGCAGCGGTCACGGGAGCTGCGAACGCGCAGCGCTGAACGGCAACACGCGCTCGCTGCTCGAACCAACGCAGCAAGGAGCGATGACGCATGCATGACGCCTCTTCCCCCTTTTTCCCGTGTTCCTTTTCCTCCTCTTCCTCCTCTTCCTCCTCCTCCTCCTCTTCCCCCCCCCCCTCCCCCCCTCCTCCTCCTCCTCCTCCTCCTCCTCCTCCTCCTCCTCCTCCTCCCCCCCCCCCTCCTCCCTCCTCCGCCCCTCCCCCTCCTCCTCCCTCCTCCTCCTCCTCTCCTCCTCCTCCCTCCTCCTCCCCCTCCCCTCCCCTCCTCCTCTCCTCCTCCCCCCCTCCCCCCCCCTCCCCCCCCCCCCCCCCCTCCTACTCCTCCTCCTCATCCTCCTCCTTCTCCTCTTCCCCCCCCCCTCCTCCTCCTTCCCTGGGCGCTGGTGGACCCTGCCGCCGGGGCCTTCACCGGGGCTCCCTCATTATGGGGCCACGGAGCGTGCGAGAGATGCGCCGGAATTGACCTGCGGAGAGCGGCCGCAAGGATGGGGGGAGGGAGGGGGGGGGAGGCAGGAGCGAGGAAGGAGGAGAAAGGCGACGCGAGGGCCGCGGGGCACTGCCCCTTCATAGCGGAGACCCAACGCCACGTAATGACTGGGATATATCATACACTCATAAACCCAGATACATGAAAAAAAACAACAAAAACACATAACTTTAAAAGAATAATTAATAAATTGAATAAACTAAAAAATTGACTTTACAATGAAAAAACCCCAAATAAACAATGTAAAATCTGAATAAACAATCGAAAATCATATGTTTGGGATTTTCCGGTTAAGAATCTCACTGGCGAATAGACTCCCTTCCCTACAGGTTCCTTGAATCATCTCAAAAACCATGCGAGTTTCCTCGCTGGTGGCACGAGCAAGTTCCTCATAGGTCAGACCTTCGAGGAACGCTGTCGATATCCATGGATGCTAAGATCAATTCTGGATGGCGCGCCGCCTCACTTGCCAGGAGCCTCTGGGACTGCCTTCGAGCAGTTCCTGAGAAGGTTTCTACATCGAACGCCTCCGTGTCCATGCATCCACGAAGGACAAGTCTGAGACGGGTGGTTTTAACGTTCTCGGTGCCTACTTTCACAAACTTCCACTTGTATACATATCTGGATGTCATGATGTTGGAAGCTTTAGATAGGTCATACATCTTAAAGCACCGGTTATCAAGCCAGATCTTGAGTTCGGTGCACAAAGCTTCACTAACCTCTTTAGGGTGTGCTGCTATGTCGGCTTTGGTGAGTAGGTCGTCTTCCTTGACTGCCACAGCGCGTTTAGCAGCCGATGATACGTATACTCTCATCGTTGCGACCATGTCAGTTTCGAGCTGTGCAAGTTGGGTCTGATCTAACACTACCTTTGACATTTCTGGTGTAAAACATAACTCAACATAAGGACCACGTTCATCACTGTCAAGAGAATAGCCCTCGTCAGGTGTGGTTGAGCATAGAGAGATAAGACAGGGCTCTTATGGTTCAGGCTCGTCTCCGAGCATTTCCGACACTACGATATCTTCTTCGTCCACGGATACTGAGACCAGAACACATTGGTCGGGCAACGTAGTTGCTGGGACGCAGTAGAGATAATCGTCGGTAACCGTTGTGGGATGAAGGTCCATACGTAACTCATCGTACCACTCCTCCATCATCATAGCTTCGTTGTCATGTTCCTCGTTTTCTTCGTAGATTCTAGACAGGCGACCTTCACTTGGTGATGAGGCACCTGGGGTGTCTGGTGGAGGCCTGTCTCCAGGCTGGTCGTGTTCTCCAGGCGTTGTGCCGAAGTGCTGATACTTGGCAAGCAAGGTCGTCATGAAATCCTAAGGAAGGAACATGTGAAGTCAAGCACTGGATGAGTCTGGAGTGACTGCTACCAGTGATTTGAGAGATGTTCAGGCCGGTGCCCACACACTCATAATAGTGGAAGGCTGGGTTGACATCGTTGTCGTAGTGGATCAGTGTAGACCCGGTGGCGTACTTTACTGCGGGTAGATTCGACACGCTCTCGGCCAGTCTAACTGCTACTACACGTTCAACTCGGAAATAATTTCGCACGAGATACTGCAGTGCAAGATGTACGCGCGGGTGAAACTTGCTATCGTCCGAAAGATTGAAGTTTCCCTTGTAGTCTGGAATATAGCCAAAGACTTTGGCAGGTTTCCCTGCACCAAGATGTGCCACATATGTAAGGACGGTTTGCATGGCCATGTTGTCCATGCCAAGTTCCATGGTAAGGAAGCATTCAATGTATAACGTGTGGCGAGCATCAGGATACATTACAATTACCTCACGTGATCCTGCCTTGACGACGACGTGTCCTCGGTCAGGCACGTTACGGATCACAGGAAACGGGCCATTCCAGCCTCCATGATCGTCCTTAGTGGCGGTAGGTCGGTGATAGTCGACCAAGTCCCCTGCTGAGTATAGGCGAGCACCATCTGGGGCCGTTTTAGCCCTGAGAGCACGATTCGTCTTAGCTACCGCCGTGGCTTGAGTTATTGCTTCCAGGCTAACTTCCCTCACACGGCGCTCTCGTTCGTGACCTGACGTCTCGGGCCCCTTAGGGAAGTCGAGGGTGTCGAGGTCAGGAAGAAAGGAGGGCTGTCGCCCAGTGTGTGCTTGGCATGGCGATACTCCGTTGTGAAACGTGAAGGCGTTGGTGGCGAAGATGCCTTCAGCCAATGCTCTTGTTAAATACAACAGGGATGTTGTGTCTGTTCAGTTCTTCCTCAATCATATGGAGAGTGCCCCTAAGAATGCCGTTGCGTGACTCGACTGAGGTCACGTGTTGGCCAGGCGCTCGGATACGAAGTGTCGCACCCTTGTTCGCCATCATGGCCTCGGCAGTGTCATGATTTAGGGCGCCTTCTCCATCTGAAAACAAGACTTTGAAGGGTCCGGGATGGGCAATCCAGCAGTAGTGGTAGGCGTCGAGCATAGTGTCACGTTCTCTATCGGAAATCTCTTGGCCTGCTGCCAGGCGAATACATCGGTCCATAATATGAAATATGGTTCGTTTCTTGTAAAGCATGAGATCTACTTCGCCTTCGTCGAGCCAATGTCCAGGAAGGCTTACAGAAGGAGGCGTCGAGTTACCTGGACGTTCCCATGCTCTACATTCCCGACATGTGTCACAGATTTCTTTGATCATATTTAGTCGAACGTTATCCAGTCCCACTTTGTCTAGGATTCGCCTCATCTTGGGTTCCTTCGCATGATGCCACCGTAAGTGCAACTTACGGAGTTCCTTTTTGACTACATGAGGTTCGTGACTACGGAGATTTTGCAGACTGTGTTGGATGTCAAATCTCGCCCAGTCGGGCAGTCGTGGAGCCCCCGAGCCGGTTGAGGCACGAGGGTTCCTTGTAGCCCTCCGCAGTCGGTCCCCTTCGTCAACTGCATCTGGCGGTGGTGGTACGCCTTGTAGGCGGCCGCGACGGGCCGCTACCTGTGGCGGCTCGCCAGAAGACGCGGAAGGCGTGTTTCCACGCTCGGGCGCGTCTCGCAGTATATCGTAACTGCTGGCATCAGATGTAGGATCAGTGTTCCCAAAGGCTCGTGGTCGCGGTGGCCTGGCGTGAGCGCCCTGACGGCCACCCAATGCTGAAGCTTGGCCCTCCCCAGGTTTGGGTGAGGGGTTCCACCAAGCTGGCGCATTGTTGCCCTCGGGATCATGATCATCTGGGAGTTTGAGCGGCTCGGCAAAACGACATTTGCCGGGCTCGGTGTCGAGGTGGTTCTTAACGCCCTTGCTTCTCGTAGGGCCCCCTTGGCATGCAGGACATGGCCAATATACAGAGATAGAATCATGATACTTACGCTGTGTAGGGTCTCTGTTGTGGCTGGGACTGTCCTTTCGAAAGTTGTCGATGCATGCTGGGCATGTAGCCACTTTTGGGATGATACGATCGCCGATGCGTCTCATACCTTCTCCTGGTCAGCTTGATCAGGAAGGTCAGCAGGGTAAGCATGCGCAGTGCGTGTAGGCGCGTCTCCGCGCGTGGTGTCGATGGCTTTCGCCAAATAGACGGCTTCCACAAAGGCAGACTGCAGTCGTCGAGTGTATTTTTGTGCCAGTGAAAGCTCTCTGTTGCACGGTTGTGCGTGCACATGCTGACCGTTGCATTTGAGTCGCTCAAAGGGTTTAAGAATCGTCTCGTCGTTGCTGGTGATATTTGTCGGCTTCTTGATATAATCACCAGCCGTATCTTTAAGTCCCGTCGCGCATTGGTCGATGTGTACGGTTGTGATATGTGGTCGGTTGGCAAGTTCTCTCCATGGGGAAATTTCGTCCACCCATGTTCCTGTGGGTTGTTCGCGTATAAACCACCTCCGTGCATTCTTGAGTAACAGCTATTTTGCCACAGTAAGCTATGTGTGGCAAATCTTCTTTATGATGCTGTTCCCAAGTGCTGTGGTTGACTTTGTAGTTATAGTTGGATGGTGGTCCTGGGGCGCGGCAACTGGGCTGTAGCATGGCTACTCGCACGCGGCATATTGCGAAGTAATGATCTACATCTCGCTGCACCGAGGGGACTCCCAGGTCGACACATGTGGTCTTGTCTAAGTTGCCTCCTGAGGAAAGACCCCTTGAGAAGGCAAGCTCTGAAATGCCACCCTCACCTCCACAAAGCTCCAACATATCCACGCAATTATTGTGACCATAGCATAGAGTAGCTACTATGCTATCTATGTCAGCGTGTGTGTCGGGCATAGATGCGGGGGGGGTAAGGAACAGGTCATCATCCTCATCTGAGCTTATCAGCTCAACAGGGACGTCAGTGCTCCAGATCGCCATAAGATCCTGTCCGAGTCCCGACAAGTCGTCACCGCAATCATCGTTTCCGTCTTCAACGTGCTTTTTGATGCGGCGAGGCTTGATGCCTGCTTCCTTTTCGGCTTTGAGCCTTTCCTTCTGTTTGATACG